TACCTAGCGTCGCTCGGGTACGTCCCTAGGGACGTTCTAATTTTTTGAACGGAACCCTAATTCATTTTCTAAAATAAAAGTACCCTGAACTACTACTTATAACATCAGCTATCTGCAAGTGAAAGTCCCGTCAAAATCGGTCGAGCAGTTCCAGAGATTAATCGAAACAAACAGACAGACAAATATAGAGACAAAAATTTAAGAAATTGTGTTTTCCTTATACGTACCGTGTATACTTTCATATGCATTTAGTAAAAAATATTATTTTGACATTACAAACAGACACTTCAATTTTATTTATCTGTATAGATTAGATCGTCCGAGGTCTATACTAGAATAGACAATACCAAATAATGTAGAATTAATGTGCTAATAAGAAACACTAACATTATAATATATATGTAATTGAAAATTTTTGTGAGCGAGTGTATTTGTTATTTGTTAACGCTATAACGGATCAACGAAACAGCTAAGTGTAAAATACATAATTGAGATAACTTATATTAATTTAAATATTAATGCTTTGAAAAATTTCTGCAGCGGCGGCCAATCTCGCTGAGACAATCTAACTATACTGGGAGTGTATAGCACAAGTATATGCAGATAAAAGAATGGTATCATTGCATTCACTCTTAAAGCATCTTAGGATTTCTTCTAAGTCTTGACTTGGGACTCAAACCTAACCTCTGGATTTGCATCCGTACATGTTAGCTACTAGACCAACGAAATAGTAGTTATTTTTACACACCTTGTGCACTCTCTCACATATTTTAGCAAGCCCTTTGCATTTATGTCAAGCTCGAGCTCATTCAAATTCTATTACACCCACAGCTAGTAATCTCAAAAGAGATTTTAATTATACAGAGAAGGTATTAAAAGCATTGTTTTCATAATAACTAAAATACTTTAGGATGAACGTGTAATGGACACTAAAAATTTATGCGAGAGCTTTATTTTTGTTTAGTGTTATTAGAATTTTCATGTCGTATTATGAAAATGTTTGGTGCAATGCTGTTTGGAGAGATGCTAAAGATATTAAGCGGAAAAATCTGGAATATTTTGCTTTCATTTAAAAAATATATATTTGCTAATGCACGTAATATTGTTTTAGTAAACATATATTCTATCTGTCCTTCCACTTTTTTTTGATATTTAGGTATTTGAGACCAATCTCCTTCATGTCTTCTCCATTCTACATGACATTGGCGAAGTAATCTGTGCTCAACAGGTTAAGTCGCTAATCTACACTAATATTATGTAAATATTATATAAAGGGGAAAGTTTTTTTTGTTTGTTTGTTTGTAACGAATAAACTCTGAAAATAAAGAGGAAAGATTTTTTTGTTTGTGTGTTTGAAGCCATGAACAAGAAAATTGGATTGAATTGAAATAAAATCTGAAAGGACAATCTTGTGTGAAGTCTGTGACTATGATTACTGGCATGGTTCAAAGTTTAAACATAGTTTAATGTCTTTAGTTAAATATTTAAAGTTAATTATACCATAATATTTCTTAAAGTTTTGAACGCTTAAAACATCTACCTTAATACTTAAACAATAGTGGCATTATTTCGAGCAAACAATGACTTATTAAAAGCTCCTGCCTCTAGCTATGAATTATTTTGAAAATTTATGGTATGGTGGTGCACAGTCATGGCGATCGTTTGTTGTTTTTAAATCACTGTTTTATAATACTTGGCAAGTTTCTTATCCATAATGTTTATGTGTATTAATTATAAAAGACTCACGGAAAAAACTTTGAACAAAAAATAAAAACCGACTTCCAGGCACTAAAATGTAAAGAATAACTAAACGGAGGTTTTCATTTAGAATAGATACCTAATCAGATATTTTGCAAATCGGTTCAGGCGTCTTCGAGTAATCGGTGAACATGCATAAAAAAAAAGATTCCGACGAATTGAGAACCTCCTCCTTTTTGGATTTCAAAGTCGGTTAATAAAAGGTCGTAGATACGTAAGCCTTGTGTGAAAATTGTCTTTTATCTTCTATACTCGTATATAAATAGACAAAGACAAAACACTTCAGTAGAATTTCTTCTATATTTGTCTACAAAAACAAACGCCAAACCAAAATTTTCAATGTTATCAATACAAAATATGAATGATTATTGTTGAATTTCGACCACTGGTCATAGCTAGTAAAGTATAATTCTGGATAGTATACATTTATAGCAATATCATAGAATATATACGTAATATATATTTTTGTCAATAAAACTAAGATAAGAGATAAGAGAGAGAAGACTAGAGATAACTTTTTAATAATTATTATATACAGGCAGCTACCACCAGAAGCCTATTTTACTACCGGTCACAGTCAATCTGTAAACCATCACTAAACCATTTTCATAAAAGCTACCTTATATGGCTTAGTTAGCTTATAGTTATTTAAAAGACACCAAATCCTAAATAACTAGAAAAAAATTACATTATTTCCAAATATTTGTCCCATAAACATTCATTCTTTATTGATGAAAAAATCACGCGCGGTACATTCAACTTGTGTACACACAAGTGACTTCACGTACTGTTTCGTCTAAGGTGAAGAACAGAGTAAAAATATTTTATTTTGTTTATTGATTTAAATTTATAAATTAACTAAAGGCTCACCCTCGCTCCCTAGGTACGTTCCAAAGGTTAGTATGGAATAGATAGACTATATTATTTTTATATATATATACATAGGTATGATGGGTTGGTGTTTGTTGTATTATACCGTGTTTTCCCGTGGGAATGAGATAATCTCCTTCGGTAAAAAGTAGCCTATGTCACTCTCCAGCCCTCCAATTATCTTCAAACAAACAAACAGACGGACGGACGGACGGACAGACAGATAGACAGATAAACAAACAAACACACCTTTACATTTATAATATTAGTATGGATATTGCACAAAAAAATTTAATAACGATTAAATTTTATGAATGCCTATCTAAATATTTTTATTAGTGTCTGATCCCTAAAAGGTTTTAATTTGCACGTAGAAGAGACGTAGCAAAAACTAATGAAAATTGCCGACGAGGGCAATGAATTCTTACAGCCTTTTAGATTTTAATAATTACTTTCGATATGAATATTAAATTATTTTACATTTACCCTAAAAATCTTTCTAAATTAAGTTTCTTGACTGAAAAGATTTTATTGGTAAGCTAGCATTGCCCGCGGCTCCGCCCGCGTTCAGATGACCAAAAACCAAATTCTTAATTTTTACATATTGGTATACTCTTACATTGCAGTTTTTGTATTTTTTCTCTTAAATGAGATATTTTCCCGCGGTAAAAAGTAGCCTATATGTTGACCCGTATAACCAGCTATCATCATACCAAATTTCATCAAAATCGTTCCAGTGTTTTTTTTCGGTTAGTCAGACAAACAGACAGAAAGACAAAAATTCTAAAACCTATAGATTCGGACTCTGTATAGATAATAACGTCTGATAAGATTTTCCAAAAAATATTTAATGTACAGATTCGACTTAGTTATAATTTTATTATAATATGTATAGATTAATTATGATAAATAAAATTATATTGTTAACTGCTAGTACTTTTTTATTTTTTATTATAACAATCGTCGCATCATTTGTTCAGAACGTTTACAGTTGAGACTGTTTTTGGATTTTTTCTTCATATTTTGTTCCCGAAGCTTTCTGCCGACTTACTATATAAAATGTATGTATTACAGTCGGGAGCGCCTCACCCGCGTCTCACTGCGCACGATTCGCTAGATTACCATGTCTAGACGCGTTCGTAGAGTAATTTGCGTACATTTGCTTATTTTATATCTTTTATAAATGTACTGTAAGGAAATCTTATCTTTTAAGGCGATAATACCTTTTGATTGATAAACACGCGGTTATGACCGCTAAAATAATAACATAAGTTGATATTATTATCATCTGCTTATTTGATTTTTTTTTATGTTGGGACATTAACACACAGCACCATCTAGTTCCATGGTAAGCTACGAGGCTTGTGTTATGGATACCAGATAGATGACTATATATAACTTTAAATACATACATATTATAAATATTAAACACCCATGACTGGAGTACAAACATTCGTGCTCATCACACAATGAATGCCCCCATCGGGACTCGAACCCGCGACCGCTGGCACAGCAAGTAGGGTACACACTGAGCCAAACGTGTCGTCATGTTAAGAACTTATCATAATAACAGAAATTATCAAAATTTGCTTTTAAAAAAAAATAACAATTAGTAGCACCTACCTACTATCCACCACCTCCACCTACCAATACGGTATAATGAAAATATTTTTAACTGTATGTGTAAAATTAGTGTATTCCAATGGTAAGGCAAAAACCTTATCACATATCACTACCTGTAGTGTATATTGGCTTTTTGACAATAATTTTAAAGCTAAATAAATTACAAAACCAGAATGAGTACTGAATATTGATAACATTTTTTATTGACTCTTTGTTATTTGTTAATTAAATTCTTTTAAATTTTGATCACTTTTTTATTTTTTTTCATTATTTATATCTTATTTTACAGAAAAATCGGCATATTATGTAATAAGATAAAAAATTTTATTCCAAAAAAAAAAACAAATCTATCCCACGGGAACCGTACATTTTTCCGAGATAAAAAGTAACCTATGTATTATTCTAATGTATGAGCTACATTATTGTAAAGTTTCATTAAAATCCATTCAGTAGTTTTTGTTTGAAAGAGTAACAAACATATATACATCTATTCATTCAGACATCCAGGCATCCTCACAAACTTTCGCATTTATAATATTAGTATTAATTAGTAATTACAGATAATATAATAATTTGTACAAGACCCAATTTGGATCTTGAATGTTTCAAAACGACATGGTACAATTATAATCTGATAATTTTGATTAGATTAGTTAAAGTTTATGAAATAACAGGAAAGTACATTTTTTAATCATATTATACATATATCGAGTGGGCTTCATGCTCAACTTACGTTTAGCTTATCGGCCATGGATTCTAAAACTAACTTAATTTTACTAACAATAGTTATATGTATAGTAGCAACAGTTGCTCAAAGAAAGACCTATGAAGGTTACAGTGTATATAAACTAACACCAAGATCAGAAAATGATTTGATAGTTTTGAAGAATTTACAGAAAAGTGGAGTAGGAGAATTCTGGGAGGATCAATTTTATATAAATTATGAAATAAGATTTATGGTGCCTGGACAAAATAAAGATAAGTTTTATGAGATAATAAACAAAGCTGGAATTGAAGCTAAAGTAGCTATAAAGGATATGCAAAGGTATGTACTTGTCTAATTTTCTAAAAAGTTGATTATGCAAAAGATTCAGCTTTTCGTTAAATATGATATATCTTATTGTACATTTTGAATAAAAAATGTTAATCAGGTAAGTTTCTGTTAAATTTAATCTACATTTTTAAAATTCAAATTAAAAATGTATATTTTTGTAGTTTGAACGTTTCAGTCAGAATATTTTGCTGGAGTTGAGTTCATATAAAAAATTAAAACATTATAAAAAATTAAAATAGTAAAGATATAGTGATAATAGCTAGTGGTACAATATATATAATAATAGCTAGTGACAATTTAATTTAAAACCGTTATTACGCATGTAGCGCAATGCATAGTTGTAAAAGTGACTATAATGTATGTCTGTAATGGCAATGAAGCAAGAGGATCATAACAATGATATGTTCCTCTCCTTACTAATTTCGACCACGACGAGATCGAGATGAGCCAACTGCGCAGAAGATATTATAGTGCACAAGTGTACGCGCAGACTCAACGCGCATACTCTGTTCCTTTTACTCTCAAAGTCCGATAGGGTGATACTTCGACACGACCAGAGAGAGTGATGTAAGGCCTAAGAATGACGGTTTTATGTGCTCTTGGGGACACGGCGGTGTAGAACCACCAACTTCCCAACTCCGGGGCTACTATTGAAAACATCAAACTTGACCCGACCCGGGCCTTGAACCCAGGACCTCTAGTTTTGCAGTCGTATATTATAGCCACTAAGCAGTTAAACTGAGATAGTTAAACCAATAATAATAAAGGCCAGGGTAAATGTGCACAACGAATACTATTTGATATTTAAGTAATTCTAATCATGAGGTATCTTTAGTATAGGTATAATACATATCATGCTAACACAGCAATTTTCAACATTTTTCCTAGAGTATGAATGTTCTTAGATACAAATCTCTAGGTCTTTACTAATAAAATGTTTACACAGTCGGACTAATATTCATAAGAAATGTTAATGTCTGAAAATGATGCATGAATTCATATTATATTAATCGTCTTGAATATTATTTAACTGTCACAACACATTATTCGATAAAGATTGAGAAGATGCTCATAAATGACAAACATTCTAGATATAGACTAGATAGATTATATGTACTCGAGATCGTTGACAAATTATAATTAGCTGTTTGTTTCAACTTATTTTACCAGTATATCTTGTCTACAGATATTTGAATTTTGAAGATTAAATGATTGTGTTCGAATACATTTAATCATTAAAGTGTTTTCAGTATGATCTATATCTAAATAAATTTACTTATAAAGAAACAATCGATCAAATTATAATAATGATTTTCAGTGCAATAGACGCCCAATTGAATCCGATAAAGCGGAGTGCAGAAACTTCATTTCTTTCAATGAATTGGAACCAATATCATAGTCTTGAAGAAATATATGATTGGCTTGATGAGGTAGAGAGAAACTACAGCAATGTGGTAACAGTAGTTAATATGGGTCAATCTGTTGAAAACAGAACAATTAAAGGTATCAAAATAAACTACCGTCCTAATAGTGATGGGAATAATACAAATAAAGTAATAGGAATGCTACAAGGTACATTGCACGCTAGAGAATGGATAACCGCTAGTGTTGTAACGTGGATTATAAAAGAATTTTTAACCAGCACTAATACTGAAATTAGATCGATGGCAGAGAATATTGAATGGCACTTATTCCCTGTTGTTAATCCAGATGGATATGTATATACGTTTAGCACTGTAAGTTAATATTTATAATTACTATCTAACTAAAAAAAAAAATGAAAAAAAAATACTGTATAAAATGCTAACTAAAAAGACCAAACCTTTTTTTCAAGACACAAATTTTCGCTAGGTTCCGTCATTTTGATTTTTAACTTTATTCATACATATGACACTCACATTATCAAGAAGCATCTAAACGTATGAATCATCAAAATTGGTTAAGACGTTTAGTAAATACGGGGGAAACTAGGATCAGACATATATACATACATACAGGTCAAACACGTAACCCTTTTTGGGCTTTGCTACAGTCGGGTAAAAATCACAGAAAATCATTCTAAGTAAAAAGGTCGTTTTTTTTCTTGAAATTTATAAACTTTTTATATAACACTAGGGTACGAAGGTTTACTAAGATAATTTTAGTGTACTAAAATATCATTTATCATATAAAAACATACTTCCAATCCTTTTTTGATATCGAAAAAAATTACATGTTGACATTATTTATAGGACGATTTTCGTTTTTTTTTTATTTTAGTTTAATAACATCAACAAAAAATAAAATGTAAGTAGTTACAACATATAAGTATCAAACAAGTGATTTTCAACGTCACATATTACCAGTTAAAGCTACTATTATATTTCTTCTAGTTTTGATTTTTTTTTAACTTTCAGAATAGAATGTGGAGAAAAAATAGGAGTAGATACAACTTTACATCTTGCGCAGAGTCTGGTGTTTCAGATGACATGAGTAATGGAGTTGATCTGAACAGGAATTTTGATTTCGCATGGATGCGTAAGTAATTACAACTTAAGTCAGGACTTAAATAAGTCAGGACATTAACACACAGCACCATCTAGTTCATGGTAAGCTACGAGGCTTGTGTTATGAATACCAGATAGTTGATACATTATACATATATAACTTTAAATACATACATATTATAAATATAAACACCCATGACTGGAGTACAAACATTCATGCTCATCACACAAATACCCCAGCGGGACTCGTACCCGCGACCGCTGGCGCAGCATGTAGGGTCACTACAAACTGAGCCAAACGTGTCGTCAAACTTATATATTTTATAGTAAAATTATTTGATCAAGATTATTGCGTAGGTATAATAATATTTCCACAAATGTATAGGATGTCCTGTTTTCAATGGATAACTTTGAAATGGCGTATAGCATAACTTTTAGCCGTTGAGAAAAAAATACAAAACCAAATATATCCTAAGATATGATTTTTTTTAAATACTAAATTTTTTAATGTACACTAACCATGCCAATAGATAGCTTGTAAATAGTAAGACTAGCTATAATTGCACTTATTTTTAATAAAACGACTTAAATTAACTTTTTCAGTGAAAAATTTGCAAAAATATTATATTTTTTGAAAAAGTACATCTTGGGTGTAAAATCAACATATTAACGAAATTCAAATTTTACCAATATTTTTTTTTCTTTTCATAAATCTTTAATTAACAAAAAAAAATATGGTCACTGTGTAACTTAAATATTTTGTTTAAAACCCAAAGTAAGATCCTTTATACATCTGCAAGTGCTTCAATTTGATAAAAGGTACATATTTTGTGTATACTAATATGTTAAAGAAGTAAAGTTTGTGAGATTGTGAGTTTGTGACGTTGTAGGTGGTAATCTCTGGATCTACTAAACTGATTTAGATGAAATTTGGTAAGAACATAGTTTGAGACCTTGGTAACGACATAGAATACTTTTTATCTAGGAAATAATCCATTAAGGGGGTGAACATGGAGATGACAGTTTATATGCGGAATCAAGGTAGGGACGAACCCGAGCGAAGCGAGGGTGAAGCGCTAGTATTAAATAAAATAGAAACTTATCTCTAAAATACACACCTTAAAGGATTATAACTGAATCACATCCTATAAATATTAAATATGCGAAAGTTTGGATGGACGGATGTTTGTTACTCAATCACACCAGAACGACTGAACAGATCGGATTTTTATCCCGGAAATATTTTTATTAGTTTCAGTGGAATATCTACAATACACAATACAATAGTGGAATTTGACTACACGTTTGGCTCAGTTTGTAGTGACCCTACTTGCTGTGCCAGAAGTCGCGGGTTCGAGTCCCGATTTCTGTGATGAACACGAATATTTGTACTCCAATCATGGGTGTTTATATTTATAATATGTATGTATTTAAAGTTATATATGTGTAGTGTATAAACTATCTGGTATCCATAACACAAGCCTTGTACCTTACCATAGAAGTAGACGGTCCTGTGCCTTAATATCCCAACATATTTATAAGTATTATTATTATAACCGTTAAAACGTCCCTAGGTATAATATATTTCCAACTACACTAATACTCCTATCAATATATCATTTTGCAAATATTTCAGAAATTGGTGCTACTGATGATCCATGTTCTAATCTTTTCGCTGGACCGGCGCCATCTTCAGAACCCGAAACCAGGGCTATATCTCAATATGTCTTAAATCTCAATAATCAAGGTCGTTTCCTGTATTTCATAGATTTTCACTCATACACTCAACTCGTAGTTATACCATATAGTCACGTGAACAGAACTGGTGAAATGCCTAGCAACTTTGACGATATGGTTTGTATTTTATATTTTTAGACTAAAAATAATTTTCGATGTCAGTTATATTATGATTGAGCGATATATATGGTGTACATAATAAAATGCATGGGTATGAAGAATGTAACACGTTTATAAATATATACATTACGTTTTAACGTTTTGTATAGATTTCTCAGCTATGAGATATTTTCCCTCAGTAAAAAGTATCGTATATGTTGACTCGGATAACCAGCTATCATAATACCAAATTTTATCAAAATCTGTCCAGCCGTTTTCTCGTGATGCGTTCCCAGACAGACAGACAGATAGACAAAAATGATAAAAACTATAGATTCGGCCTCTGTATCGATAATAATGGCTATTTCAATAAGATTTTCCAAAAAATACTTAATGTACAGATTCGACTCAGTTACAATTTTATTATATGTAGGGGAGAGGGGGGCATAGTAGGGTACTTAACGTTTAAACATTCCTAAAAACTAAACTAATGTGATTAAATTAAAATTTTTAACTTAGAATCATAGCTTAATTCATTGTGAATGCCTATGGATATATTTATGTTGATAACGTAAGTAATCTATGAGATGTAAATACTTAAATGAAAAAAGGCATTTGACCCGCTATGCCCCGTGTATAGGGGTAAAGTGGGGTCTCCTATGGGGCATTGTGGGGTGGTCATAATAAGGAAAGAAACACAACTTCCAAACGAAATAGTTTTATTTCTTAGCAACATAACGACAGTTTAAAAAAATAAAAATAACAACAACACTTTAGCATAAGAAAATCACAACAAAAACTTCTTTATTATTATTTTTGTAAGTTAAAGAAATCAGAGATCACACAAAAAACCTTCACACGTTTCTTTAATCTTTTATAAAACTTAAATATTAAAAAAAAGGAAATACAGAACTTTGGTACAGTTAAGTAATGAATTACGGTTAGTTATAAACATCTCCTTTAAAAGAAAACAAAGAAGAAGTGTAAGAGTTTTAGTTTGAGTTTAAGAGTTTTAGAAAAAAACTTTCAACGGCTACTCTATTGAAACCCATAGCTCTAGCTGCTGATGTTGGTTGGGGTTTTCTGTAGCTAATATTTTTGGATGTCTTTTAAGGAATCCTTTTAACCAATCTATACCAGCCAAAGCACTCCCTGAATTAAATTTATGAGGAATTCCATTTTTTTGAGCCACTTCAAATGCAAGTTTGCGCAGGTCACGTGAAGTCAGTCCATGAAACCGTGCTTCCATCAGTCTTATGTAATTGGCAGAGGGAGAAAACACGCTTTGGAAACGGCTCAATTTCTTTTGAAAGATGCTGTCGTCTGGATTGCCCCTATATTTAGAAACATAACGTTCTAATGTTGTTTGTGGAACGTTGTGCATATTTGCATGTATTTGCTGCTTTTCTGTAGCCGATTACTTCGGACACAACACTGTGTACAGCTTGTTTCATAGCTTCCACAGACCATGAATGCTGTTCAGTCTTTCTCTTGTATGTGCGGACCATGTTGGCTAAAAACGTAAAAAAATATATTACAACTTAGAAGTCTTTAAAACGGGGCAAAGTGAGGCACTTTTCTATAATAAGAAACGGGCACAGTGGGGTGCCCCACTTTGCCCCAGGTGCCTTACCCCACTATGCCCCACCGGCTCGTTCAAAATTAAACACAAACTGACAGCATCTTACCGTGATTCAATGACCTTGTGCTTGTTGATTAAGAAATGCGGAAGAGTACTGATTCATAATAAACTATAACACACCACAGTACACAAGTACGTTTAAGAAAGGTTTGCTGATCAATTTCACTAATTTTTTTAGGAAAAACACTGGTTTTGATATTTTTGTTTACAACACACAAACGCATACCGAAATAGCGTGGCTCGCATATAGAGGTCACGCACCGACTAGCGACCAATCAAAGCGAGCCATTTGATAGTTTGCACAGCTTTCGTTTCGAGCTGCATAAGGCTCGCCCCGCTATGCCCCGTGGCCCCACTATGCCCCCTCCTCCCCTATAGATTAATGGTAAGCTACAAGCAGCATATACATACAAACATATATTCAAGAACATTATTACAGTTGACTATCAGATAAACCGGAAAAACCTTTTTCTAACCATGTGATATTTCGATAAGAAAATTCCAATTCAATTTAAATTTTTTTACCTAGTCTGTCTTAAAAATGTGTAATTATACATATTTTATGCAAAATTGTAGTTATTTACACTAATAACTATTTTTGAAATTATTGTATTTGAATTATCGTATTGCTTTTTATTATTACTATAAAAGTGTGCTATTTGTTACAGTATCAAATAGCAACTAATGGTGCCGAAAAACTTAAGGAAAGATTTGGAACTACTTACAGAGTGGGGGTTTCTGCTGATATTTTATGTAAGGTTTCATCTATGATATTTAAATTTTTAGACAGTTAACGTTAAAGATAATATACGCAACATGAAAGCGCTATCTACTTAACCATCAATTACAGATTTAACGCCCATGTAAAGTATGGGGTAAATGTTTATATTTCTATACTAGCGGCTCACCCTCACTTCGCTCGGGTTCGTCGCTAGGTACGTTTTAAATAGATATAAATAGTTATTAGCCAGAGCTAGCCATATAAATTTTAAATTTCTTTCGTTAATTTTTTTGATGTTTTAATACTCATAGTCCTATTCCGGACTAAGAGAAATCCAAAATTTCAAATATCATAAAAATTGGTCCAGCCGTTCTTAAGTTATAAATAGTGTATGTATTATAAATAGTGTAATTAACACGAATTTCTTGTATATATACATGTATATATATATATATATATATATATATATATATATATATATATATATATATATATATATAAATATATATATATATATATATATATATATATAGATAAAGATTTACTCCATACTTTACATAACGAGAATGTTGTACATAGTACAGTAATTAATCCCACGACCAGTCTCTCAGCAGCCAACTTACATACGTCTGTCTATCATGAAATAATATGGTCGACAAAATGTTTTATATTTTGCTGGAATAATTTTGAGCAATAATCCAATATCCCAAAAGCTTTTAAATCCAGTCAATAAGAATGCGCAATCCTTTTCAGATCCTATGAGCGGTACTAGCTTTGACTGGGTAAAGAATGCTACAAACGTTTCTATTTCCTTTTTAATCGAGCTAAGGGACCTTGGAGAGTATGGCTTTCTACTACCCCCTGAGCAGATTATCCATAATAATCTAGAAATCATGGACGCATTTCTCGAGATGGACAGAACGACTAGAAAACTTGGCTATTATTCAGGAACACAATCTATTATATGCTCATTTAGTGTTATTTTGCTTGGTGTATTATTAGCTCTATTTCATTAATTTAATATATTATTTATAATAAATATTTATTTATTGTTGCTAACATTATTTTATAGTTATTATTAATTTGATTCAAATTGAATTAAATAGATTTATGCATACTCTTATTTGTTTTATTCGATTTATAAGTTTTTTCTGTCTTTTGATTTTAACTCATTAATGTATGACGATAATAAAAAGGAAATCAATTTATTATAATACATATTATTTTTTGTCTTAAATTCATAATTTCCATTTCAAGTGCCACAATAGCACTTATACGTAAAAGGTATTCATTATGAAATAAAATATTAACACAAACGTGTTTAAGCTTTGTCTGATTTTAATGTATCGTTGAATAAATCGGAAAAGAATTACTGTCAAAAAAGCTTTACAAAGTGGCAAAGTAAAATATCTTAATGAGACGTAAATAAATAATTTCAATTTTGAATATTTGACAAGCGTACCTGATTTTAGTCACAAAATCACTAAAATGCCTTTCACTCGATTCTTAAGACGAGAAACTCATACAATCTCTTTAAGAAAGCTCTATAAGAAATAGCGATGCGTAAGAGTATATTCTAAATATTGTAATGTTGAAGATCCAATAGAGTAAAAAAACACAATACTTACTCGCAGTATTTTGAAAGTTTCTTTTATCAAACAGGCATTATTAAATTATATATTTGTCGAACTGTTTCTATTTAACCCTCCATGGGCCTAAGTATACGCATATACATATAATAAGTGTTCACAAACTGTCATAGATTTACCTTTTTAAAAATTTAAAGATAAAACTAGCATTGCCCGCGGCTCCGCCCGCGTTCGATGATCAAAAACCAAATTCTTAGGTTTTACATTGTAGTATACTCTTACAACGCAGTTTTTGTATTTTTTCTCAGAAATGAAATATTTTCTCGCGGTAAAAAGTATCCTATATGTTGACCCGGATAACCAGCTATCATCATACCAAATTTCATCAAAATCTGTCCAGTGGTTTTCTCGTGATGCGGTAACAGACAGACAGACGGATGGACGGACGCACGGACGGACGGACGGACGGACCGACAAAAATTCTAAAAACTATAGATTCGGCCTCTGTATGGATAATAATGTTTATTTGAATAAGATTTTCCAAAAAATATTTAATGTACAGATTCGGCATCGTTACAATTTTATTATTTATGTATAGATATTTGTAAAATTTTGGCCAATTGTGTCAATATGTTCTACATGTTAACTTTTATGTTCTATTTAAATATCTGCCATTCTATTTTTGTAGTTATATGTCATACTTTTTATCCGTTCCAAAGCCAAAGTTACTAACCAGCCACTTTTGTTAGCATGTTTCAATATATGTAAGTAACTAGATGTTGTCGTAAGGAATAAATAAAATACCTAAAAATTAATAAAAATATTAATTATTAATAATAATATAAATATAATAAATTTATTAATTTATATATATATATATATATATATATATATATATATATATATATATATATACAAAAATTTACAACACTTGGATTAGATAAGCTGAAATGCACATACGAGTATGTATATTGTTATAGACAGTTTTACAGGACCGACGGCTTTACGTGCTCTCCGAGGCACGGGAGTCATGAAACAGCGTCTCCGCGCTGGTACTGAGGCTTACCTAACAGAAAGACTCAATAAACTTGTGCCGACCCGGGACTCGAAGCCAGGACGTTTGGATGTACACCCGTAGATGCATACATACCCTTAGAAATCCTTATATTCGCCATATAATTGTTAATAACTGCTGAATACACTGATAACGTAGGCAAAGTAAACAACAATATAATAAGCAACATTTAATATCTGAACGCGACTATCGAAAGAATACTATATTTAAAGCTTTATATTAAATTATTGTTTTATCATATTATTTTTTTTGATATTTTATAATTTTATCAATGTCTAGTAGATCTAGCGTAATTTATATTATAGTATATCATATCTTTTTGACAGGCAAATAAATAATTATTATTACTTGATTTGATTATTATTACTTACTAGCCGACATGGACCTTGCTCTGTCCCAATTTCAATAAATTCATTTATCATATTTAAGGTTATATAAGAATTGTACAGAAAAAATATATTTTTGTTACTCCCTAATTTCCCAATTTTCCGTTATCTTTCCCATACTTTTCCCACAAAAACTTTATTTTGACTCCTATGGGCAATTAAAAAAGTGCCAAATTGTGCCATTTTATATTATGTGAGAAAATTGAAAGTGTAAATCCAGGTAAATTTTTAAGAAATTAATTAAATTTCTAAGAAATCTATTGTTAACTGTAACGTCGGCGAGTCCGCGGTCGTTGAGGGATTAATATATGAGTAATAACTTGTTTAAGCTTATATTTAAAAAGTATCGATAAAAATGGCAAATTACCGTGTGCTATATAAATCGTGTGTGTAAAATATCATTGTTTTATTTAAATAATATTGAAATTTATACATTTTTACGGACCTACACAAAGTTTTTTATATTTATGACATAATTTTTTTCCTAAATAAACTTAATAATGAACAATTATCGGTTCTTGTAATTATTTCAAATGCCAGGCAGCTAGAATATTAATGAAACAGCTAAAAATTTTATAAAATTGGTAACAGCTATATCTTAGATAACGATATGTAATCCTTTAATGTTTATAGCGTTTTGATTAGATAATTATTAAAATATACCAATGTCCAATACTATTTCATACAATTTAATCGGAGCCCGATTTCGAGAAGACAAACTTTAATGTGACAAAAATGATTTTAAAACTAGTTATTATATATTTAATATCAATCACAGCCAGTAAGGCTTATGTTAGTTATGAAAATTATAAAGTGTATAAAGTTGTACCGGAAACAGCAAAGCAAGTGCAGATTTTAACAGATTTACGTAAAGAGCCACATTATAATTTTTGGACGGATATAATAAATATTGGCGAAGATGTAAAGATTATGGTATCGCCAAGTCAAGATGAAGAACTTGCTAAGTATCTTCGTAGCGTTGAAATGGATCCAGTTCTTGCTATATCTAACGTTCAAGAGTAAGTTCTATTATATTTAGCTACACGATGTGTTAAAGTCAAAGTGCTATTTTAATATCAAATAGATAGATATAAGAGATAATAGGTATATATATCAAGTATATTTAAAAATTCTATAATAATAATAAAAAGGTATTTCATATAATACTTTCTTAGATTTACGCGAATGTTTGACATTATTAAATAAAACTATCTTTTCGGATTATTTCGCGGATTTATTTTGATTTTTGGTTCCCGACGTTTCGAATGCTTTACAGCATCCATGGTCACGGGAGACTGGGAGTCTCTCCCGTGACCATGGATGCTGTAAAGCATTCGAAACGTCGGGAACCAAAAATCAAAATAAATTCGCGAAATAATCCGAAAAGATAGTTTTATTTAATAAGGTATTCCATAATCATTATAATATTATAAATGTGAAAGTGTTCGTTTGTTTGTTTGTCCTTCTTTCACGTCGAAACATAGTGAAGAATTGGCGTAATTTCTTGTTTGGAGATAATTGGAGGGCTGGAGAGTGACATAGGCTACTTTTTACCGCGGAAGATTATCTCATTTTCATGGGAAAATACGTTATAAAACAAATAGTCGAAACATGGTATTAATGCTCTTCAATACATTACATGTTTTAGCATTCTTCGAAAATCATCCCATTAGGGGGTAAAATATAAGATTAAAGTTTGTAAGAGATCTACCTTCTTAGAGTATATTTTAGGTGTTTTAGCGCAAGTGCAGCCGCGGGTTCTGCTAGTATTTCATCTATACAGATAAATAATATTGAAGTGTCTGTTTGTAATGTCAAAATTCTAGCGTTTTACTAAATACATCTGAAATTATATACGGTACATATAAGAAAAACGCAATTTTTAATTATTTTTTTTCTGTTTGTCCGTTTGTTCCGGATAATCTCTGAAATGGATGGACTGATTTTGACGTGATTTCACTGGAAAATATCTGATGTTATAGGGAGTAACATAGGCTACTTTTATTTTAAAAAAAGGATTAGGTTTCCCCCACAAAAAAAAAAACGTACCTAGGGACTAATCCGAGCGAAGCAAGGGTCGCCATATAATATGTAATCTATTTATTCTGTACTAACCGTTAAAACTTACCAAGAGACGACGAGAAGCGAGAGTGAGTTGCTAGTAACAGAAATAATATCCTTAGGAATATTATAATAGCAAAAAGGTTTTTTTTATTGTTTATTTAACACAACGAAGCACATTTACATGTACATATGTATAAGCTATTATTGCATAATATGGCTATTAGTTTCATATACGTAGATAGTACCGAGGCAACTGAGCTTCGCTGGCCGTTTTTCGGAAAAGATATAAAAATGGCGCTTATTCAGAAAAGACACCTGTATGGATAATCTTAAAAAGCAAAACCTTATCTAAATACAAAATCTAACGCAAATAAATGGTTTGAGACGTTTCCGAGATGCATGAAATAAAATATATTATGTACATATAAACAAGAATTGCTCATGTAATATAATAAGACTAGCGACTCACCGTCGTTTCGCTCGGGTTCGACCCTAGGTTGATTCCCCAAACAAACCTTCATCCCCATTTTCACTTTCACATATTTGATTTTTTTAAAAGTATCCTATTTCCTTCCCAAGATCTCAAACTATCTTCTTACTAAATTTCATCTAAATCGGTTTAGTAGATCCAGAGATTACCCCCTACAACGTCACAAACTCACAATTCACAAACTTTACCTCTGTATAATATTAGTATAGATATAAATATTTTGGAAATAAAAAAACTACATTACATTTCATGTTCTATCTTTATTTATCTTATTTTTTACTATTACTAAGTCATAAATAAAGATTATCGATAACATTAAATTTATAGCGTCTTTTATTCGATCTGTTTATGTCAAGTTAATATTAACATAATTACCACAAAATACCGACATATTATTGTCATTGGTATATTAGCTATTTAGGGTTTGCAAAATGAACAGTTTTAAACATATAGATGTACAGAAAATAATATCATTTTGCCTAAAAAAAATTAGACTTAAATAGCAAAAAGAGACTATAGATTCCTCACAGACTTACATAATAATATTAAATTCAAAATATAAAAATCACTATTCGATAGTGCTTGTAAAAGTCTATTTGAATAAAGTACATATATTTTGATTTGATTTTACTTACATTTTAACTAACAATAATTCTTGTAATGTTAAGTTATGAAGAAATAATTTTTCAGCTTAATTCGTGCACAAATGAAACCAGCCAATGGGATTTCAAGAAGTAATCAACTTGGCTCTATGAATTGGAATCAATATTTTACTTTAGCACAAATCTACGCCTGGCTTGATGAGCTGCAAAATTTATACCCTAGCACCGTAAGAACAGTAATTGCCGGAAGATCAAACGAAGGGCGGGATATTAAAGGAGTGATTATAGATTTCAAGAACGGTACAAGAGGATCTAACCCCCTAATTGGTATGATAGAAGGTGGTATTCATGCCAGGGAATGGATCTCACCAGCTACAGTTACTGGAATTATCAAAGAATTTTTAACTAGTGATGACGCTGATGTTAGACATCTCGCAGAAACTTTTGTTTGGCATATATTCCCTGTAATAAACCCTGATGGCTATGTTTACACGTTTTCAGACGTAAGTTTTTCTTAATCTTTATATATATAATTCTTCTGTGAGTGTGTATGTCACTGAACTTCTCTCAAACGACTGGACCGATTTTGATGAAATTTTTTGTGTGTGTTCAAGGGGATCTGGGAATGGTTTAGATTCACAATTTGAATAATAATTTTCATCAAAAAAATTATTAAAAAAGTTTGAAATTTTCAAATTAAAGACGTGTAGACAGGACAACGTCTGTCGGGTCCGCTAGTTTACATTAAAAATATTGAATTCTGTAGTGAATTAGCTATCTCTTATTATGTTAATTTAAATTAAAACTAAGTTACTTGTGATCTAGCACTGATGGTGTTTACAGTATTTGGAAAAAAAAATAACAGAGATATATGCGTAAGAGTGTCATCGTGTATCTATTATTACCAAATAAAAAAATAAATAAAAAAATATTCAAAACCTTCTCTATACTAATATTATAAAGAAGTAAAGTTTGTGAGTTTATGAGTTTGTAGGGGATGATAATCTCTGGATCTACTGAACCGATTTAGATCAAATTTGGTAAAAAGATAATTTGAAAGCCTGGGAAGGACATAGAATAGTTTTTATCCCGGAAATCATCCTTTAAGTGGATGAAAATTGGGATGAAAGTTTGTATAGGGAAGCAATGTAGGGACGAATCTGAGCGAAGTGAGGGTGAGTCGCTAGTTTACAATAGAGTAGTATTTGCATATTTTTTATTTTAATTTATTTTTAAATTTTTTAATTATTATTCTTTACACTAATTAATAATTTTATCTACAGAATCGAATGTGGAGAAAAAACCGCAATACCGCACACAACACGAATTGTTCTCTTTCTAACGACAGAAGCAATGGTATTGATCTCAACAGAAATTTCAACTACTTATGGATGAGTGAGTACATACAAGAGAATTTTGCTAAGAAAATCTAAAATCATAATAAATTATCTAGACCGCAAGGTTATGAGACCAAGCGTATACTCGTAGTTCGATACAGCGTGATTTAGAGCTAATACACATTTGCTTAAAGTAATTACAATACCCAATCTAAGTGAACGAAATTATAATTAAAAAATACATTTAAGCCAAGTGTTTACACTAACTAATATAATATTACTACTTGTGTGATAAGTATAAGATTAATCAAAATGAATCAACTGAGAAGAAATTCTGTTTTAATAATAGCCGTTGAAGGGTTCCACTGTTCATCCCCTAGGCTCAACATCAGAACAGCTCGATGGCAACAAATTATTGTACTGTTACCACAATTTTACATATTTACAAATATATATTTGAACTTTAACATGTTTATATATTAATTTAAAGATTAAAATCGACTTTGAAGATTTGCTTAAAATAAGAACAGCTAATAAAAGCATGTTCCTTATGCAATCCTGTTATATACTTATATATTTTTTTAATTTTACAATATTCATAATTTTTGAGCAAGTTTCGAAACGAAAGTTTTTTTTCAATTCGAGTGTTTTCTGCGTATGCTACGCGATATATTACCCAATTGTGGATTGATTTTACACCTACGAGTGAATAAAACGTTTATAATTTTCATAACTTTTATTTAAGAAGTATTCAATTAAATTATATTATAAACTAACCCTTTCTTCACTAGAATGTATCCCTACATGCCTAAGCTAGACAAACATATATACTAGACCGGATGATACTCGTATATTTGTGTATAAACTTCATCCAAATCCGTTGAGTCATTTTACCATGAAAGAGTAATAAACATACATACATTTACAAAATTTGGCAATATTAACACTAATCTTATATTTATAATTATATTGTGTTTTAGCAATTGGAGCTTCTTTAGACGCTTGTACAGAAACCTTCGCTGGTCCACATCCAGCATCTGAACCTGAAACTATAGCCATATCTAACTACGTCTTAGGTTTGAAGAATAGTGGAAATTTGCTTTATTACTTTGCTTTCCATTCATACTCACAGATGACTCTCATACCGTATAGTCATCTGTCAGGTGATCGAGTTCTAGAAGTTCCGAACTATGGGGATCTCGTAAGTTAGTTTTCTAATTGCTAGCTTTAAGATATTATCTCACGCACTAAATATTTTTTAGATCTAATCTATATATGCGATTTGTGTAGCTTAGTTACTTAGTTATCAACAACGATAGGAACTGCTAAAACAAAATTTATTATTAGAATACAAGTATTGCATACAAAGTTCGCCTTGCAACTATTGAACACTGATTTGTTTATATTTTTTATATTTACTGCTTTTTTAGTTTCCGATCTTTACGTTTACGTTTTTAATTGCTGTTATTATTACTTATTGAATTTTATATAATACTAGCATTTTCCGCGGCTCCGCCCGCGTTCAGATGGTCAAAAACCAAATTATTAAGTTTTACATATTATTGTACTCTTACAGAGCAGTTTTTGTATTTTTTCCTGCGGTAAAAAGTATCCTATATGTTGACCCGGATACCCAGCTATCACTATACCAAACTTAATCAAAATACCTCCACGACAGACAGTCAGACAGACAAAAAATCTAAAAGCTATAGATTCGGTCTCTATGTCGATAATAATGTCTATTTCAATAAGATTTTCCAAAAATATTGAATGTACAGATTCGGCTTAGTTACAATTTTATTATATATATATATAGATATTCTAAGTACCTAAACAAAAAAAGTATCAGTAAGAAATAACTAAAAGATATTGGTAAATGTTTATATAAAACACAGTATTCTTCTCAAGTCAAACAAAAGCTTTGTTAATTATCAAGATTGAAGCAAATAAAAAAAACTATTGGCTTTGATTTGAAAGAGAAACTTTTGTCTTGTAAAGTTTATCAAAGAGCCGAACAAATAGACTACTGAGATTTACTGTCGAGATAATTACCATTCTTTTAAACTCGCTTATTTACCACGGAATCGACTTGAAACGACCTATAAATTTGCCTGTTAACAGTTCGAGATAGCGATTCGTGGAGCGGAGAAACTAAATCTGAAACACGGCACGGAGTATAGAGTGGGAACATCGGCTGATATATTGTGTGAGTAGAGTGTAGATGTTATTCGTATTTGCAAATATTTAATAAATGTATATAATAAATATATAAAATCCAATAATTACTTAATTTAAACATGTTTTTAATAATGCACGGAAGTGAAATTATTACCCTAAAAGACAATTCACTGAGCCTAGCCATGAGCGCATTAGATATAATGATAATAATGTCCTTCTGACCGGTTTCGGCCACGGCGGCTAATCTCACTGATAGTAGCCAACTACAGGAGATATTATAGTACAGGGCGTGTACTCTCTATCCCTTTTACTTTCAAAGTCCGATGGGATGATACCTCAACACGATGTAACGAACTTGCACCGTAGGACAAGTGGTAATCATGTTGAAAATGATTCACATATAAAAATATTAGAGGTACGAGACCCGGGATTTGAACCCGCTTCACTTGGTTTCCCTAGCGAGCACGTTACCATTGGGCTACCACTGCCCATACAACGGTGTGATAATGATTTTTTTAATTATAGATGCTGTATCGGGCTCTAGTTTTGATTGGGTGAAAGGTGTAGCGGATGTGCCTATAGTGTATCTATTTGAACTCCGTGACGTTGGTGACTACGGATTCCTTTTACCTCCAGAAGAAATTATACCGAACAACGAGGAAATTATGGCATGTTTAGTAGAAATGGACAAAACTGCAATGAAATTAAGATACTATCAATCTGCAGGATCTATGGGTTTAGCATCCATGGCGTCTTTGATAATGGGTGTTTTCTGTTTGATGATTGTACAATAAACATTTTGTAAATAAAGCTTTTTTCTTATTTAATTATCCATACTAGTATAGTATTATATCATCTGTGTCCATACTAATATTATAAATGTGAAATTATGTAAGGATGGACGTTTGTTAATCAATTACGCTAGAACGGCTGAACGGATCTGGATGAAATTGGCACAGAGATAGATTGTAGTCTGGAATAGCACATAGATTACTTTTTATGTATGGTTAAGTAGGTAAAATGTAGTACTTTTTGCTAGGAAGAATGTACGGTTCCCGTGGGATCGATTTGTTTTTGTCTAGGGAAGAACCCGATGCGAAGCGAGGGTGAGTTGCTAGTTATTAATAAAAAGACAATGGTTTCTGCCTAGAAAATACCGTGGGATTGCAACCATTGAGACACAAGTCTAGTTTTTAAATTAAATCCGTAGAACATAATAATATATTTTAAACTTTAGATTAATAATTGCATTTTTATTGAATTGTTTCTTTCAAACCTACCTTTAATCAAGCTTGGTTGTAAAAAAAACATACAGCATTTAAGAGTGAGAAGGCTAATAATTATTTATAATAATAAAAGTCTAATCTGAGTACGTTTAGAATATTTTTCGAAATCAATAATTTATTTATTCTATTTCTAGATATATTATCAGTATAAAAGTATTTAAAATTTTATTACTTATTTTAAACTTCTTTCACAATCTAGAATCACTGTTTATGAAATATTATAACTTTATAATATAACACATACCTACGTTAATGAATTTTCTTACCAATACTAAATAAAATACAAATAAAAATAAAAACATTTTAAGTTTTAACTATTGGAGTACTAATATTATAAAGTAGTAGAGATTATCCAAAAATCGAGCAGACTTGAAGGTGAAAGATAGTATTAATGTATCCTAATAATGTTTTAATAAATAAATAAATATGTTGGGACATGAACACACATCAACATCTAGTTCCATAATAAACTACGAGACTTGTGTTATGGGTACACATAATATATAACTTTAAATAAATATAAACGCCCATGAGTGGAGTACAAACATTTGTGCTCATCACACAAATGAATGCTCCCAACGGGACTCGAACTCGCGACTGCTGGCACACCAAGTAGGGCAACTACAAACTGAGCCAAACGTGTTCTTTGAAAAGTAAACAAAAACAATTTTATTTTAATTGTTATAGTAATTAATTAAAACATGCTATTTTCAATACACAGGGAGTTTTTCAACTAATTAATCACTACACGACAACAAGTAGTTCTAAGAAAAGTATGTTTAAGTAAGTTTCTGAAGTGATTTAAAACTAGCATGTCGCAAACAACTCCCAAGAGATTTAAATCTGTCGGCGGAATTTCTAAATATCGTTAAGTATGCGTTGTTCTTAAATTAGTACTATCTTTCTAAAGTAACATAATGAGAAAGCGGAAATTATTTTTTCTAAAGTTTTTTTGTGTTTGAAGAAAACTTATATGAATAAAATTTACTTATTTATATAAGAAAATTGACTGTTTCAATTACTAAAATTGTCGAATTCTTTTCAGACAGTATTTCAAAACATCCTTATTTATATTAATATTATAAAGAGGTAAAGTTTGTGGGTTTGTGAGTTAGTGATGTTGTAGGGGGTAATCTCTGGACTGAAACGATTTATATGAAATTTGGTAAGATAGTTTGAGACCCTGGGAAGGACATAGAATATTTTTTATCCCGGAAATCATCCCTTAAGGGGGTGAAAATGGGTATGAAAGTTTGTATGGGGAATAATATAAAATAAAAGAAAAAAAAGTGATATTTTCAAACGTGATTCAAATAGTAACCTACCTTGTATGTAATGGTTTTTTTATTTTGATGATTTTAAATGTCTCTGCGGTAACCATGTTTGCTCTAAAGTATTCGAAACTTCGGGAACCAAAATATAACATAAAACCACGACGAAATCCGAAAAGATACTTTCGTTAATTAAAATTTCAAATATTTGGGTAAATCTGAGAAAGTATCATTTTGATGATTCTTGGTGAACTTTTTAGAGAGATATTTTATGACCGGATTTCTTGCTACTTTATCCCACCTATATCTAATATATATATAATCTATAGATACTCGTTTGATAAAATTCCAACTGAGTCGAATCTATTATATTAAATATTTTTTGGAAAATTTTATTGAAAGTCAATTAATTATCAATACAGAAGCCAAATCTATAGTTTACAGAATTTATTTTTGTCTGTCTCTCTGTCTGGGAACGCATCACGAGACAACCACTGGAGAGATTTTGACGAGTGCGATGATAGCTGGTTATCCGGATAACTGCCTCGGTGGTGTAGTGGCCAGCAAGTACGGCTGCTCATCGAGAGGTCCAGGGTTTGAGTCTCGATCATTATTAATATTATTTTTATCTGGATCAACATTTAGGATACTTTTTACTGCGGTAAAATATCTGATTTCTGAGAAATCTATACTAAATTAAAATGTAAATTTATTATTGAGATTAATATTAAAATACATAAATAATTAGTTATAGTTAGGATTTTCTTTAAATGCAGATATCAATTTAAAGTGCCACGCTTATTTTAACTTAACTCTAAAGTTAATATACATCAAAAATAACTGCTCCATAATGTCCCGGATGATATGAGTGTAATAAATTACATTGCCCCTGACAAGGTGACGCGTGAGTGAAATCAGACGTCAGGACGCGGTCACAAATCATAGCGCACACCTATTTGGGTTCTTTGGAACAGGGAATGCTGTGAAGTGGCCTTGTTAATTTAGTTTTTTTTGGGTAAATTAATTTTAAAGGTGTTTTAAATCAAAATAAATCCGCGAAATAATCCGAAAATATAGTTTTTTTTAAATGTCAAATATTCTCGTAAATCTTAGAAAGTTATAGTAAGTCTTATATATGTATATTAAATAAATATAAAATTAATATAAATATGTTGGGACATTACACACAACACCATCTAGTTCCACGGTAAGCTACGAGGCCTGTGTTATGGATACCAGATAGTTGATACACTACACATATATAACTTTAAATACATACATATTATAAATATAAATACCCATGATTGGAGTACAAACATTCCTGCTCATCACACAAAGTAATGCCCCCAGCGGGACTCGAACCCGCGACTCATAGGGTCACTACAAACTGAGTCAAACGTGTCGTCTAATATATATATATATATATATATTAAAAAAAAATGTGTGACACTGACGTATCCATCGACTATCCAAATTAATGCCTGGTCTGGTTAAGACAATGCCTTTGTCATCACAACCCAACATCAAATATGAGTAACTCGTAAAACGTTTTCCGTGGACTATAGAGTTTAGTTTCAAAATCTCTATTTCTACCCCAAAAAGAAGCTTACGAAAAAATATGCGAGATATTAAAAAAATAAGTAACAAATCAACTCCAAGGCTTTCTCTACTCTTACAATTTTCAATTTATATGATAATATTCAGTAATGATCCTCTTTTTATTGTTTTCTTTTGTAATCTTGCGTAAAATTAACCAATTCAAGGTTGTTATTGAACAAGGGTTGCTTCAAAGATTCTTGATTTGAGAGGAACGGAGGAAATATAATAAAAGAGTTGAAAGTTATTAAATATTGCTTTTACCCATTGACGATTTTTGATTGACGTACCGTCAGCAATTTTTACTTTTAAATGAGAATCCAAATGATGAATATCAAATTTAATTCTTCATCAAAATTTCAGCGTAGTTGAGCCATTGTCAATACTCATTCGAGAGAGTTGATAAAAGTATTTCGTGCAATAATGAACAGTTATCTTCAGCAGTAACAACCACATATAAATTATGTTTATATTAATGTTAAAGATTATTAGACAATATTTACATAATTAATGTTCACCCAGAATTATTATTGAAAATTTGAGGAAAACATTAAAGATTTAAAGATTTTTATTGAACATAATAACATACATATTAAAAACAGTTAGATCGTAAGTAGCTGCATTATTATTATTACACTGGTGGTAGGAGTCTGTCAAGGCTGAGGAGTCCGACTGGATGGGTACCACCCCTTTACCTATTTCTGCCACCAAGCAACAATGATTACATTGCTGTGATCCCGTTTGAAGGATAAGGTAGCCAACGCAATTACGGGCAAGAGGCATATCATCTTAGTCCTCACAGTGACAACGCACCTGCGGTTCTGCATTTTTGTTACATAAAACCTTAGAGCATAAACCGTAGGTGTTATGGGCGACAGGTACCGCTTTCCATCAGGTGGGCTGTCTGCTCGTTTGTCACTGAATACCATAAAAAAACATATATGGATAGAATTTAACTATCTATATTAAGGAAAAATGTTTCCAACATTTTTTTATTGATCACTAAAGCTCCTAAATAGCTACTAAACAAAAAAAATCGGTTGACAAACAAAGGAAAAAAAAAGTACTGAACTGTTTTGTTTTTGTCTATTGATATAGATTGTAGGGGATTAAGGGATCATTAAACGTACTTTTGTAAAATATTATCTATACATATAATAAAAGTGTAACTGATCGCTGTCTGTACATGGAAAATTTGAGAGAAACAATTATTGAGAATCCTTATTAACACAATAGAATCCAAATCAATGATTTTTAGTTTTTTTAACTGTTTGTCTGTGCATTTGTGCGCGCTTATTTCAGAAAATGTTAAAGCAATTTTGGTGCGGTTTTCACTAATATATTCTGGCAAACTTCACTTAACACTAAGTATTTGTTTTATTTCAATCGGTTCATAAAGAAAAAAGTTATGTCAACTTAAAGAGTCATTTGGGGACTAGTTAAGAATAAAGTTAATTAAAAATATAACTTTATATATATAATATTCCAAGCTATATAGAAAGCGGTTAATAATTCCAAACCAAATATTTTCTTCCAAACCACTCACTAAAACACTAATTTATAACCACTTGTAAACCCATAAATATTTAGAACGATTCCACAGATCTTTGCTAGACTGGTAGACTAGTGTAACATGAT